TTCCGGAGAAAATATTATTTTGCTTAAAAATGAGGTTTTTTGCAAAAAAAACTTTATTTTCCGGAAATCTGGCAAGTGCTGGAAAAAAACTGATATCATTTTCGGATTCAGCAGCCAAAAATACATATGAATCACCCTGTAGCAAACGTTGACCTTGTCTCATCTCTCTTATCACCTTCTGCAATGAAATCAGATTGCGCAGAAAATCGTATAAGTCCTTCACTAAAATGACCAAAAAATTCCCCAGAGGCAAAAAGCGGCAAAAAGCGGCAAAAAAACCGATGATATCCTGTTAGAGGAACATATGAGCTACATTCTTGCACTGATAAGAACGTGTTAGCTCGTGTTAGTGATAACTAAAACTTAAGATGAAGGCAATTTTTTGCCTAAATCAGGACAAAACTTTGGAGTCTCATGGTGGTCATAAAATCAATCTTAATACTAAAAACGATTAAACCATCAAAAAGTACTTACTTTCACCTTTCTTGTCCATATTTGATCGGGGATCTACGCCAACTTATCACAAAACGACACAAGGCAATACACGATAACGTGCACTTTAAATTCTCACGTTTGTTTACTTACCTCGAGGATGTGAAGTTCGCCACCATGTATCTGATCGTAAAAACAATTACAGAAGATTTGATGGGTCATTTCACACCTACTAAAGGATGTAGATAAGGATTATATGCTCGATTGCTAGATTTTCGTACTTTCAAAAATCGGATTTTTGGCCACAATTCGGCGCCCCCAGACCATAGTGCAGTGCATAACATATACTCATATGGTGCTCCAAACGACGGATTTCTCCCACGCTGTGCTACCGCGCTCAGTAAAAAGGCCGTAAGAGCCATCAGGCGTTGCCACATTTCCTTCACGAATTTTCAGGTAGATTTGTGACTATCTCTCTTTCGATTTTTGTAAGTATTTAATTCGTTATTTGATTTAAAAAGTTTGAAAACGCCAGGGAAAAACATCCATAACTTTCTTTAAAGACACAATTTTTCAAAGAGGAAATTCGGCAATATTCAAATGCATATACGGCGTTTTTACTCAACACAGCGCACAATGGATCTAGTCAATCGGAGAAGTCGGACAACATTTGGAAACTTTAAAAGCTTATAACTCCGTTTATACAAAGCTTTGAGGATCTAAAAGTGGTTCCATGGGTTTCCACGTGAAATTCTCTTTCAGAATCTTCACTTATACTTTAAAATTCAACGAATTAAACATCAAAATTTGCAGTTTTAGTCACAAATTTCATCACTGAAAAAAATATGGTGTAGATTTAACATACCCTGACACAGTTATCCGAGTATGGTAATAAACACCCGACTCTATGGTAATATTTACCATTTTGTGGTAAGTATCACCAGAGTTCTGTTGAATACAACTATGATTCTCGGTATTTACACTAAATGGATCGCATTTTGCAAAAAATCAAGTAGACTCATAGAAAATTTTACCATACTTTTTTTTTCAGTGATGTTCAACTTCTCGACAACTTCATAACTGACCCGACCCATTGTGCGGCGGTGCGAGCCCTTGTTTAAAATAAGACCCCACCAATCCCAACTTCCGATGCGTTATTTATGAGGATCTTACGCGAGGGGTGAGGCGGGGGGGGAGAGGAGGGGATGCTTTTCGGGGACTCGCCTTCCGGTCAAAATTGTAAAGTTCCTCGCGACATGACGGGGGTTTTTGTCTTTGCTGGGGGTGATCAATCATAGCTGGAAGTTTTGACCATTAGGCCCGGCCGAGACGGAGAAACCGTTTTTACGAGCGCACCTTTTCCTCGCGAGTGCGGGGGCGGAAATTAACGGGGACAGACGCCGTGACGGGTCCGGAAGCCGTTGGGGTCATGGAAACGCTGTAAAAATGGTTCAAGTTTTTTTTTAATTTTAGAAAAATAGCCTTTGAAACGGAGAAAATTGACTTCTTCTCCAAATAAAGAGCTACTGTTTATGGTTCATCAAGGAGCCATTCAAGTATTACGTGACGAACTTTTTCTGATTGTTTAACCCCCCCCCTTGTAACGCACTCCACAACCCCCTTTTGCACTGCGTAACGCTGGCCTGACCCTCCCCCCTATTTTCAAAAAATCAAGAAAACGCTGAGAAAACAGCTTCAAAACATTTGCAATTTTCTTAGGAGATATTAAGCTGAAATATGACGACAAGAGCTCAACAAGAGTGATACATAATTAGATTTGTTTTATTCATAATTGTACCGGAAAAGTGCACTTGGACAATTTTGAATAAGTTAAACATTCAAAAAATCATATTGAAATACAATAAGGAGAGGAATGTCCAAGGAGAGAGAATTTTTAATTTGCTTACAATTTTGTCAAGGGCGGGATTTTCAATTTTTTGCACTTTTTTTTCCAAGTCCCTCCGCCCCCAAACTTAGATTTGTTGCGTAACGCTGACCTTGACCCCCTCCCCCTCCCGTGC